AACTTGCTTCCCATAAAAGAATCCACACAGGAGAGAAACCATATAAATGCATGGAGTGTGGAAAGGGCTTCAGCCAACACAGTCTTCTTACATCCCATAAAAGGATCCACACAGGAGAGAAGCCATATAAATGCATGGAGTGTGGAAAAAGCTTCAGCCAACATGGTAATCTTACTTCCCATAAAAGAATCCACACAGGGGAGAAGCCGTTTAAATGCATGGAGTGTGGAAAGACCTTTACTTATAAAAGTCAACTTGCTTCCCATAAAGCGATCCATACAGGAGAGAGGCCTTACAAATGCATGGAATGTGGAAAGTGTTTTAATCATAGCAGTAAACTTGCTTCCCATAAAAGAATCCACACAGGAGAGAAACCATATAAATGCATGGAGTGTGGAAAGGGCTTCAGCCAACACAGTCTTCTTACATCCCATAAAAGGATCCACACAGGAGAGAAGCCATATAAATGCATGGAGTGTGGAAAAAGCTTCAGCCAACATGGTACTCTTACTACCCATAAAAGAATCCACACAAGGGAGAAGCCATATAAATGCGTGGAGTGTGGAAAAGGCTTCAGTGGACTCGGTGTTCTTAAAGCTCATAAAAGAATCCACACAAGGGAGTAGCCATTTAAATGCGTGGAGTGTGGAAAAGGCTTCAGTGGACTCGGTGTTCTTAAAGCTCATAAAAGAATCCACACAGGAGAGAAACCATATAAATGCATAGAGTGTGGAAAGGGCTTCAGAATACATGGGGATCTTATAACCCATAAAAGGATCCACACAGGGGAGAAGCCATATAAATGTGTGGAGTGTGGAAAGGGGTTCCGTATCAGTTCATCCTTTCTGAAACATAAGAAGATTCATACAGGGGATAAACCATATAAATGCATGGAGTGTGGAAAGGGCTTCAGCCAACATGGTAATCTTACTTCCCATAAAAGAATCCACACAGGGGAGAAGCCGTTTAAATGCATGGAGTGTGGAAAAGGCTTCAGTGGACTCGGTGTTCTTAAAGCTCATAAAAGAATCCACACAGGAGAGAAACCATATAAATGCATGGAGTGTGGAAAAGGCTTCAGGCAACATGGTAATCTTACTTCCCATAAAAGAACACACAAGGGAGAAGCCATTTAAATGCATGGAATGTGGAAAGGGCTTTAGTGATAATGCATCCCTTTTGAGACATGAAAGGATCCACACCA